CCCCAAAACCCCAAAACCCCAAAACCCCAAAACCCCAAAACCCCGAGAGATATAAAATCAATTGAAGGATCTTATTCTTAGCCTACTTTTTGATAAAAATATCAATGCAAAGATCAGTCAAGGTCTTCCACTTTTGTTGCTCATGATTTCTGAGGTTGTAGGTCAGGTTCTCAAGGTCTTTTAGAAGCTTGGTAACTCTATTGGTATGAATATCCTCTTCGTATTTGTATCAGGACTCTGGTAAGGCATTGGGATTGATAAGGTATGGAGCAACTTCCTTCTTAGCTTCCTCCTCTAACCTTTCTTTCTCGATTTCTTCTTGAGTCTTGAGAGGATCATCTGCTTTTATTTTCTCTTCAACATCCATTCTGGTCTCTTTAAAGTTCCAGATATAAGGTGGCCTCAGAGATAGCTCAAAATCTCTTGTTTCTTTAACCTTTTTAATTTCTTCAGGATCTTCTTTAGCCTTAACTTCCTCTGACTCCAATAGTAATCCCTCCACATCTTTAGCAAGCTCAGTTCTTTTAGTCTGTTTCTCCTTTGGAAAGGCTGATATGAGTATGAAATCCTGGATATCTTGAATTACATGATCATTAATATGCCTGAGATCCTCAGCTACATTGAGCCAGTCATCCTTCCTATTCTCACTGATATAATTCTGCCAGATCCATTTTCTGCCATATTTCTTATGCTCAGCTTCTTCTTTCTCCTTCTGTTTCTTAAATTCTCTGTATTCCTTTTGTTCTTCATCTTCTTCGTCTTCAACATCAAGATCTTCATTAACTTTGTTTTCTTCAGGGTCACCGATCTTCTCTTCCTCATCAGTAGGGGGAAGTCCGTGCTCTGCACGCTTCTTCTCTTTCTTAGCTTCCTCTATTTGCTTGATCCTGATGTTCCTGATCACGAGGAGGCCTTTGAAGCAGGCTAAGCTAGGAATTACGTTTTCAATAAGATTTTTATCTTTGTTGATCAGTTTGTTTTTCAAATTACTTTGGAAAATGATTTTGATCACCTCGTAGAGGAAGCACAACTGGTCGTTCTTGAGACGATCTCCCATTAACCATTGAGCAGTAACGTCGTTCTTTACCATTTTTATGACAAGTTGGTGGAAGGGCTCGTTATCTTCAACGTGATATTTGCAACGGTTTGCGCCGAGGCTTCTCATGTGGAGAAGTTCCTCTCTCATTTCATGGATAGACTTCTTTAGAGGAGCCAGATAGAAAGCCATAGGAACAATATTCTCCCAATCATCTAGCTTCAGAAGGTTGAGCATCCTCTTGATGTCATAGATGTCCTGAAGTTTACCGTGATCACTCAGGATTTTACAGATGATTTCCATATGTTCACAGAACTTTTCTTCCAGAGCAGTTACTCTAAACTTTGGAATATCATGTTGAGTCTTCATTAATTCCTCAAGCTTATGGAAATTGTAGTTACTCTCAAGCAGATTCAATAGGGGCTCGATTGCTGGGGTGATAATAGCTTGCACCTCAGGATGAGTCTTTTTGATATGCTTTACATATTGCTTGTCAAACTCTTTGAGCTTAGCAATAAGCTTTTTTTTGGTTTCTAGATAATTCTCTTTCTCCATTTCTTCCAAGCTCTTTAGCTCCTCAAAGACACCATCTATTATCATTTCTTTGGAATTGAAAGTATCTACTCTGACATGGTTTGGAATTTCATATTTAATTCCATCGATATGGATAGCTTCTTGTCTGGGGAAGAACATGGTTCTTATGTAAAATTGATCGTACTTCTTAGATTTATGAGGAACCTTTAATTTGCACACAAGACTGAACCAATCATCTAGAAATGGCTGCCAGTTTCCGCTGATGTCAACTGTACCTCTTTCAAGCTCTTCAATATCATGATCCTTTGGACTAATAATTTTTGTACTGAGGTTGTACCAGAGAGCCCCTATAGAAGATATATTACAGTCTTCTAGAAAATATACATACAGAGCTTTAGAGAGCTCTATGCAGATTCTTTTAGGATAACTTACATTCTTCAGACCCATTGAAGTCATTGAAGGCCTTCTCCAGCTCCTCTGGAGACATCTTCTTTCTTGGCATTTTAATATTTATAAGAATTTCTTATTTTATTTCTTAAGTTTGAAACGGGGTTTTGGGGTTTTGGGGTTTTGGGGTTTTGGGG